AAAGGACTGGCTAAAGGCTAAGTAACAGCAAAAGTCTAGCTAAAAGTATCAACAGGCTATAAGAAGCTAAAAGCAGAAAACCACTAGTTAAAGTAGCTAAAGCATAAAGTAAAGTAAAAGACAAAAATCAGGTCAAACAGCTAAAACAGAGAGAAAAAGCTTCTGAAAGAATGAAAAAGATTTGTGTATTTCTTTGTTTTCTTTATTTCAAGTTCATTTATAAACATCTGAAATGTTCAAACCGTTCTTTAGCTCACGTTTGTCCTTCCTTTAGCTTTTTAACTGTAAAACATTTTGGTGTAAACGGCGGTGGATTTCCCTGAATTGAGCTGTGGCGTCTGACTGAACGGACGGAGCCTCAGAAGACAGCCTGTCCTTTAGCTGGACAGCAGGGTTTATCCTCATTCATTTGGCTCGTCTGTGACACGTCCTCCGGCACCGCAGGTCATTAAAAACATTCCTGCAGAACGTTCTGGTGTCTTGGATCCAATGACAGGTGTGTGTCCAGACTGTGTCCCTGTCCTCCAGATGGTGAAGGTTATACAGTTTGTTTTAATTAGTTACTGTGTAACATCAAGAATCAGTCAATAACCCGTCAGCCTCGGAGCTCTGATAGATCAGGTTTGTTTAATGACTTCATTCATGATAAATCACAGGACGATGAGCTGTTTGTCTCTTTATGTTCAGTCTAACTTTATTCGTAACGCACTTCAAAACACCACGACAGACCAAAGTGCTGCACAGAGCTGACGATAAAACTTGACTCACGCAACATAAAATACAATTAACACACCAGTTAATAAAAACCAGTTAATAAAAACAGCAACATTTAGAAAGAGTTTTGAAAAAACAGACGATTGAGAGGCCTGTCTGAGACGGAGGGGCGGCTCGTTCCACAATTTAGGAGCTGCTGGAAGATTTTTGAAGAGGGACATAAACCTGACTGTCATCTGCGTAACTATCGTCTCTTTCACGAAACGCTTCTATAAAGTATAAAGTGTCCTCAAAGACCAGTTTGTCCTTCTGCAGCCTCTTGTTGTTCATTAATTACCGATGGGACTGTCTACATCCAACTTTTCCAAAATGAAGCTAGCATCATGGAACCGAAAGAGACGTGGAGCAGAACTCAGCTGGGTTGACATGGAACTTCAACACCGTAAAAGCGTGACAGGCGGCTGCCACGCATCGATTTCAAAACCAGACCAATTAACTCAGTTTGGCAATTCTCTTTGTGGTTAACTTTTTTTTTTTTTTTTTTATTAAATACAGTACAAAGTTTTTGTTTGTCATCATCAATATTTCCTTAAAAATCTGTTATTGTTCAACAAAGTTAAGTCAGGTTCTCTGGACGGTTTCTTTTTGTTGAAACGTTTCATCTTTCATCCAAAAGACTTCATCAGTCCGAGGATCCACAACAAACTCAGTCCCATAAGTAGGACACTCACATAGTGGACCAACCGACCCACTACGTGAACGTCTGGACTTCTGCGAGTCGTCTTTATAAGTGTTGCCGCCGTGTGATTGGCTGATTTGCTGTTTGTGTTTACGAGTGACTGAACAGGTGGGCCTAATGAAGTGGCAGGTGAGTGTCAACTTTTTTACCTTCCACAATGATTGTGTGGTGTGATTATAAGCAGTCAGTGTCTTACCTGCAGTAAACAGCTGTCACAGTGAGCCCAGTTCAGAGAATTTGAGGAGCTAAGCTAACAGAACTAAATTAAGTTTCAACATACCTGAACTCATAACTTTTATAGTAGCTGAAGAGCTTCAGGTAAGACTTATCTGCAGGGCCCCTTGGGCCTGTAGGGGTTTATAGTTTCATTTTATTCACTTTTGCTCAGATATACTCGTTTAAGGTGAAACAAATTAAAGTAGAACTGCAGTATCGTTGGTATTTACAATAAACAGAAACATGAGTATGAGTAGAAAATGAGAACAGATGCCTCTCTTTGTGTTTTTAACCCTCTACAGAGATCTGCATGTCGTGTTGTTGGACCCCAGCTGATCTAATCAGACTAACGAGCTGCACTCAGCAGCTCGGTCCACTCTGCCTTTACATGGATGACCTGAGCAGCTGCATGATTAACTCACGGGGTGTGCAGCTGGATGAGCAGAGGACAAGATGCTGTCAAACTCCAGCTGCAGCAGCTTTAAACCCACTTCTAATTAAGTGACTGCCTGCTTACTGTTTGTGCCATAAGAGGTATTAGTGCTTTTATTTACAACAAAAAAAAGCTATGTGCATGGTGTGTTGTCTGGTGGAAGCGGGGTGGACCGGTCCAGCCTCGGTCCCTGTGCTCTCCAACACCAGATGTAGGTCGCAGAGCGCCACAGGGCCCGTGTGCTTGTGTGTTGTGGGGAAAAGGCTGGAGTGTGTTGTGTGCCCTGGATGGGCTGCAGCAGAGCGATGATGGTGCTGAATGGGTTCATCGCTGAGGACATGGCCCGCAGCACTCTGTCTTCGCTGCTGCTGTCACGTCACATCGTCACAAACAGGCCAAATGAAGCCTGACAGCCTGGCAGACGAGACTGGGGGCGAACTCCTCACCGAGGCTCTTTCCATTGTTTCCTCTCCCTGTAAACCGGATGAGGATCATCAGATTTATTCAAATGCAGCCAAAGATGGAGGCTATAATGTTCTTGTGTCAGTTGTTAAATAAAATGAGACCAGTTCATTGAATGAATGCATATCACCCACCACCTTTAATGTCAGGGTTTCAAACATTAAAAATAAATGTGGATCAGTTCTCTCTGTCAGATCTTGATAATGAGTGTGAATTTTAGCACACTACTGGTAAAAATGAATAATTTATGGCCATTTTTATGCTGCTCTGGTAAATTAGCTGTAGCGGCCATCTTGAATTGGTTTGACTCCTTAAAGAAATTATTCATTCAACCTTCATTTACACAGGTTAGTTAATTAATACAGGTAGAATTAATTGTTGGAAGTTTAACAAATTACTATTGTCAGAGTTCCATAAAAGATAAACTATAAGATTTTTAAATTTGGGCATATATGCTGAACGCTGTGTGTGCTGTAATTAGCTGAAGAACCTGAAATAGAGTTGTTAAAGCTATAAAGAAAGCTGAACAAAGGCTATTAAAAGAAGCTAAATTGAAGCTGACAGCAGTTAGCAAAAATAGCAAACTGAAGCTGGAATTAGTAAAATAACATAAATATTAAAAGTGGCAGAATGGTAGATAAAGTAGCAAAATAATAGCTAAAAACATCAAGGAAATTGCTAAAAAAAATAAGCAAAATAGTGACTACATTTAGCACATTCAGTGTCTATCAATACAGCAGCTAAAAACAGCACAATTGCTAAAGCAAAAACTTGTAAACCAAATATAAAATTAGCTAATCAATTTAAAAAAAAGAAAAACAGATGATATAGTTAAAAAAAATAGCAAAATTTAGCAAAACACTACAGCTAAAAGTTCTGCAAACAAAAGGTAATGAGCTAAATAGTAGCTTAAAGTAGCAAAACTGTAGATTAATTTAACAAAACTGAAGCTTCGGTTGAGCAAAAACAAAAGCTCTATTTAGCAAATTTGTACCTAAATTGTAGCTAAATGTAGAATAAACACAGACTATGGCTTAAATTAGCAAAACATTCCAAAAACAAAAGTTAAAATTAGTAAAACAGTGGCTAAGTAGCAAAGCAGATGCTATAAGATAAATGTTCAAAAACAGATGTTAAAAATAACAAGATGGTAGCTAAAAGTAGCTAAATTTAGCTTCTATTTAAATAGCTTACTTTAATAAAAACTAGCTAAAGGGAGTGGAACGTAAGACCAGAAAATAGCACAAAATACAGAGAAGTACTAGAACAACAATAAACAGGTAAACAACAGAATGTTTTTCACTGGACTCTGTTCTGAGTCTGCTGTTTTTAGTTTTTGGAGCACGTAAAAGGCCGTCATCTTTCTACTCGTTTTTTCCTCTCCTCCCTGACAAAAACATGTTTCGTCGTTACATCTCGTCTGTAAACACAGAAGTCCAGGATGTGGATTATTGAACCCAAACTGATTTCTGACAAGATGTGACTGATCAACGCAGCTTCCACTGGAAGGAGACGAAGACGTCTGATGTTGACTGGGTGACTTCATCTTAGCGGTTTAGCATTAGCTTCCACTAATTTTTTTAGTTACCTGTCAGAGACTTTTCGGTCAATGAATGTTTTGATTGTCCATTAACTCCTGCCATGAGAACAGGCAGCTCAACAGTCTCCCAAAATCTTGGACTGGAGTGATCTCATCACCATCATCAGATGAGATCAGACTCGTGACGTCTCCGATGCCCATGAACCATATTTGTGCAAAGCGCGTCATAAGCTGCAGATGGCTTCAAGGAACGCCCGCTGAGCTGCTGTTATAAAAGTCAGCAGAGGACACTGTTCCAGACTGACTCTGTGACAATGTGTCCATGTATTTATGTCACCCATCCTGAATGAGTCCTTGCAAGTAAAAAGCCGGTTAAAAATCTTCACCTCCCGTGAGTTATGTTTTTTTTTTTGAGTAAACATTGTCAGTGAAAGAGAATTTTTCCAAAAAAATTGGTCCTTTGAGAACATCTTCCCTCACCCACCAGGCTTGATCTGAATCCGTGCACGGGGGAGTCTTGGACTCCTGAACTGAAAGCCCTCTGGTTGAATTGCTGATGTTAGCAGAGGCAAAGAAATATTTTTTACAGAGGCCAGGAAATATGGGTTCACAAAGGTAACTTCTTGGTTAGCTGTCACTGAAGAAGTCAGGAAACTTGATTTCTCATCTCTGAGGTGAAAACTGTAATAAAAGCTGAAGCTTTGCTACATGGAATAATTTAATCCAGGTTCAATCTAATATTTCTGATAAAACACTTCCAGTCTAGATGCAAAAGAAACAAATTGATCTTTTTAAATATTTCACAAACAACAACGGCTTTACACATTACAACGTAAACATCAAAGACAAAAATACAGGTTTCTTGTAAAGTTAAAGATAAAAATAGAACTGTTTTATTGAATACAGTTGTTTCTCCTTTAATTTCAGATTCACTGTGAGATCAACACTGTCCGGTGGAACTAATGTCAACAGAATGATCTCCTGAAAATATCTGTGACATTTTACAAACAGAAAGCAAATTGTCCAGCTGACAGCTCCAGCTTTGAAAATATGATTCCAGGCTACAATAAATAATTCCTGATGAGACATTTATCTCTAAAAGCTGAGCTCATCACTCATGAGGAGGCAAGAATCAGAATCAGGACCAATGGATGCAGCTTTGGAGCTTAATAACGGTCATAATGTGGCCTCTGGTGGTGGGAGTTGTATCCTGGAGGTCCGGACTGATACCCACTTCCATGACCCCAGCGCCTGTCTCGGTCGGACCAGTGCTGCTGGCCCTGGTGGCCCCCTCTCCAGCTACGCTCTTCTCCCCACCCACGGCCCCGAGGTCTGCGACGGTCTTGGTACCTGTATGGAGAAACAAATTAAATGGTTAAAATGAAGACACAAACAAACAAATTCCTTCATTTTTCAATGCAAGATGACTTTAGTTTAAAACTATGGCATGTAGGGCAGTGGGTGATACAGCAGTACCGATTGTGAAGGTCCGTTTGGAGTCAAATAATCCAGTTTTTGTGTTAACCCCTGTTCTCATGTCCAATTTGGGTTCTTCATCCGTCTGTTTTTTCCTCAGCTAGAATGCACAAATGTTGGCAGAGAACAAGGAAACTGAGGATCGGAGCTTTAAGTGTGTGATTTTACAGGATTTCCCTAATGGACACGCAAAAGATGATCTTAGTGGAGATATTCGTCCATCCAGGTAAGTTTATCCGTTAAAAAACAAAGATGACCAAAATATTTTCTTTGAATGTTTTTCCCAGAACATTAGTGCTAAAATCAAAAGTTTTGTGCTTTCTGCAAGTCACAATTAAAACTTTTTAAAGACATCTTTGGGATTACGAATCAAATTTAACCACTTACGTAAATAAATAAAAAAAAATTGTAAGAATTTATCACAAAGCAACAAATTTTTGCCTTTCATTTAAATTCAATCCGATTCTTAAAACAACAAACCCAGTTTCAGCAGCACCCAGTGTCCTGACAGGACTGATGCATGATGGGAGTTTTAGTTTTGTTCCAGCATAAAAACACCTGAAACCCTCAGAACCACAGACACCCAGTACAAAAGAAACCTGACAGCACAATTCAAAACGTTAGAAGCACAGAATAAACAGAACAGTTTAAGACAAATGAAAAATCTGAACATATTTCATATAAACATATAAATCAGGTCTCTCTTGTAAATGAGTCCCCCAGGCTCAATGGGCCTAACCTGTCTAAGGAAAAGGTTGAATTTAAGACTTTTTAGAACCCTTGCATATTTTATTTATTTTTATCTCGGAAAAGAGCCATAATTAAATATAAAACCATGGTTGAATGTTGTATAGATTATAGTTCTTTGTGTGTCTTTTCAAGCTTCTTGCCAAAGTTGATTTTCAGGTAGCTACAGTGTTTTGAGTTCATTTTGAGACTCTGTTGGATTTAAAGCACTGATCGTTGTGGTTTAAGTTTTATTTTTTTACCTTTCTTTGCTGACGTTTTGATCATTATGTTAACTCACTCAATACTACTTATTAAACTGAATAATCAGATCAGAAAAGCTGGTTACCGGTTATCCCTGCCTCTCTGGTTCCCTCCTGCCCGGCCCTCCCAGTCCTCCACGACGGGTGGGGGGTCAGCAGGTCGGCTCAGGTACTGCTGGTACTCCTTATCCTCCGAGGAAAACCTGTGAGCAAACAGATCCTCGTAGCTCTTCATGTTTTCAGACGTCTCGGCCATGATTCTGTAAGAGAAGAAACGTCAGGAAGCTGCTTCTAGCTGCCGCTGCTAACCATTAAAACACATTTCCGCTTGTTTACAGCGAGTTTCCCCGCTCACAGCACATAAAACACTTCCTGAAATTAAACAAACAAATATCATAAACGCATTTTCATCACTACATTTATGAACAAACCTTTAAACGAGGAGAAAGTTGTCCGTTTCAGCTACAACGCTCCAGAACGTCTCTAAAATGTTTCCCCCCGGAAACACAAGGACATAATTAAAAGTTCCGGAGGCGCGCGCACCTGCCTGTGATTAATGTTTGTTATTTAAAACATGCTTATATGAACCATTAAATAAAGCTGAGTTAAAGAGACGCATTCAGAGTCAAATATGCTGGTTTGTGGTTAATGGTGGCAGCGGTTTTATGGGCCCATACGGTTCGGCTTAATTTGAGGTAAACTCCTGAAAGTCAACGCAGCCACTTAAAACATGTAAGTGAACTTTTGTTTGGGAAAATATCATCGTCGGTTGTTTTGTTAATTTGGCTCTGGCTCGAACGTTGTGCGGTTTGAGGTGGAAACCGCAGAGGGAGCCGCAGAAACCGCACGTTTCTTCTGACGGAGTGGGTGGAAGGAGCAGGTGAAGCCGCTCCGCGTCGCTGCCGCCGTCCGTCACACGAAACACGATCCCGCCGGAGAGGCAGCAACAAACTCCGCTCAGCGACGAAGCAGGGGAATGCAATCTTAATTCATTTGCGCCGAATGCTGTAGGACACCGAGGACAAAACGCTCCGAAGTGTGATTTAAAAGCACATGCGCGAGAACAGGAAAAACAAACGAGAGGAGGGAGAAAACTTCCTGAATTGAACGGGGTTCTGCGGGAGCGAGCATGACAACCCGGTGACTCGAGTTTTACGAAGCGCTCTCACATTTCACTTGTCTCTCAGCAGCGGGAGGACTGGCTCGGACCTGGCAAAGGGGGTTATGAACTCCGCGGACCACTAACCGCCTGAGGACTTTAACAGATAAATTATAATCCGCCGCAGCAGTAAATACAGATTATTTAAAGGAGTTGTACCTGACGTCCGCGGCAATGGGGTGAGTAAAAAAATGTTTGTTGGCAGAAACACGATCTGTTTATTTCTCCTGGAAATGTCGGGATATATTTAACTAATTATCACAGATCATAAGCGCGTGTCTGTGCGCGTGGAAGACTCTTGGACTGAGATTAAAATACCGAGGACGCTGATGTTCGCTTCTGATTTAACAATTCCGTAAAGGAATATTCTTTTTATCAGCACCTGCTCAGGAATAGTATATTTAGACTGTTTGAACCAGGATTACATATTTTTAAGGTCAAAACAGATTTTTAAAAATTGTTGTTTTACTGAATTGTATTTGTGGAAGTTTACAAGTATTTATTTTTGCACCTGGAATACATAACTGGTCCAGTTTACTCATGTGACATACAGCTGTCTTTACAACATCTGGACTGTTCAAACCTGGATCAGATTAATTAAAAACTAGAAGAAAATTTTTGAAGCCCATTTTGAAATCTCTTGGTTATGTAGGTTTTTATTATTATTATTATTATTATTATTGTTATTATTATTATTATTATTATTATTATTATTATTATTTTACTAAACCAGTTCAATCCACCCACCCACTTTTACCTGCTTCTTCATTTTTTGGGTTAAGTGGTTCAAATGCAAACAAACAAACAAACAAACAAACAAACCAACAAACCCACGAGAATGTAATTTTTAAACTTTAACAAATGTAATAAAGTGGTCACAATTCACAAACCAAGTTTCAAGAATTCTACTTTTATTTAATAATTTACTCCAGGTTTGAAGAGTCTCATGGTTGAAGTTTTTGAACTGGAGTTGATCAAAATGGGAGTGGTGGTGCAGAGGTTTGAGAAGGTGGACCTGTGATCAGAAGGCTGCTGGTTTGACTCCCCAAACTGACAACATCAAAATGTGGGTGGGAAAGGTGAAGCACCCTCACCTGCTTCCACCCTCATTTGCCCCACTCTGGGCCCTTGAGCAAGGCCCTTAACCGCCACCATCTGCTCCCCGGGGTGCCCTGCAGCTCCCTGCTCCACACAGAGGGCTGTGGTAGCTCGGTGGTCTGTGGTTGTCAGAAAGGACATTCGATGTAAAAACAATTGTCAAGTCTTCATGCGAGTTGGTTCGCTGTGGCGAAATAAAACAAAAATAAATAAATAAATAATGGAGCTGATCAAAAATGTCCAGAAGGTGAAAAATTCAGTGGAATGACCCTTTACTGTGTTATCAAATCGAAAGCTAACTTCAGTGTCGTTCTTGCAGAACTGTTTTTCCTGACTTTTCATTTTAATTCCTGAAAAAATATTTTTGTTTTGATTATGACTTTACCTGTATTTATGAGATGATCTGAGTTTTTCTGTGCAAACGCAGCTCTGAGGTTGGATGGAGGTGTCAGATTCAACGCTCTGCCTACTAATAAGGAGAGATGGTGTGTGCTTGTGTCACACAGTTATGCAATCAGCAGCTCCCTCCACAGAAACACTCGGTTTATTTTATTTACACACACGCTCCGTTCTAAAACACTTCAGCCACTTTCTCTTCAATACTCGTTCTGAGTAATTCATAGGAACAAACTCTGTTCTTTCAGTGATGTGGTCATCGGTGCTCGTTGTTTACATCTTATTTTCAAGTGTGTGTGAAACTGGTTTTCTTCCCCTCCTGAGTCTGACGGAGTCAGTGAACCGGTTTCAAAGGAGTTGTCGTGGAACTGGTCCAGTGGACCTGCAACAGCAGGCAGACGGGCCAAGACAGGAGGTCACACCTACTGACGGAGGAACAGAAACAAGTTTTTTAATTTAATTTTTCCAGCTCTGTGGCTTCAGTCGGAGACGACCGGTCGTGTTGTGTGACAGCTGGAACTGTTCTGGAAGGAGGAGACCCTCAGCTCCTCCAGCTGGTTCTGCTCAGGATCTCAGGATTCGTTTAGACACACAACTAATGGTTGTGTTCTCAGATCAGCTGTGGGCTGTTGTTCTGTCACCAGAACTCCCAAAATAAACATAAAAGTTCATGCTCAGTAATCCAGGTTAAAAAAATCCAACAAAGTTAAAAGTCAGGTTCTCTGGGCGGTTTCTCTGTGTTGAAACGTTTCGTCTTTCATCCAAAGGACTCCATCAGTCCCAAAAATAATCCAAAGAACTTCATCAGTCCAAAAATAAAGTTTTGAGGGCTGAAAACTCCGACCTGGAGTTTCAAACCTCCAAACTTTTCTGTGTTGTGAGCAGAACAGACTGACCCGTTCCACTGGACGTCCTCGTCTGCTCCATTTGGTGGATCCTGAGGTGTTCCCAGACCAGAGAGGATTTATAATCCGTCCAAAGAGTTCTGGTTCTGCCCCGGGGTCTCTGTCCAGATATCCCCCACCTCAGCTGACTCCTTTCGATGAGGAGCAGCAGCTCTGCTCTGAGCTCACCTCTGATTTCAGATGCTTGGATCCAGGTTCTGGTTCTTTCAGTCATGGTCCGGACCTCACGACCACAGGTGGGGGACAGGCTGGGCCAAAGATGGACCAGTAAACCAGGAGCTCCTTCACTGACCAGATCCTGTTCCGCCACATCAAACTTTAGCTGAATATCTGTCAGACTGGTTCACGTACAGCTGCTGTAGGTCAGCTGGCTGTGGCGGCCATCTTGAATGATATTGCCTCTGAATGGGAACCTCCGATGATCACTTCCTGAAAGTTTCAATAAAATCCGTCCATTGATCGCAAGATATTTTGCTAACAGACACAGTTGGTTCCAATAATTATTGACACTCAAACCAAATCTGCCATCAATTGCACTCAGAGTTTGTGTCTGGTTGACTCTCAGCTACTACCACGTCAAACTTTAGCTCGGTTTGAATAAATGAGCTGAGTTGTGTTTAGGTTTAATAGCCGTGGCGGCCATCTTGAAGGAGCGCTTCGTTCCTGACGCTCGTTTGTCACGAGCTCAGATTCTTAAAGGCCGAGCAAAGTTCATAAAAGTCCAACATGGACGTTTTCGCTTTGGAACGGAACCGGAACGCGTCCAGCTGAAAGGAAGTGTCGTCTTGAAAAACAGGAAGTAGAGGAGACGTTGACCCGATGGGGTTCTGTTCTGACCCGGAGCTTTTTAAACTCCCACCCTCCTCAGCAAACAAGCTGGACTAAAATCTAATCACTTCCTGACAAATTTCAGATTAGTGCATTATCTTTCAGTAAAAGTTTTTTAATCTAGCATCAAACAGTTTTGTGTCTGACCTGAGGTCAGGTTCTGCACGTGCGCGGTCCGATGGCGCAACATGTTTGGTTCTGACTACAGACTGATAAAGCTGTGATCACGTCCTTCACAGATAAGGCGCGTCTCATGTCCCAAGTAGAAAACGGTCGAAGCTGGACGTAAAACTTGTTAAAAGTTGAGGAAAACGATAAATTTTCTTGAATTATTCCGTCAGTTTCTGGTTCTATGACGTTGGCGTGTTGCGGGTTCAACAGAACTCCCAGCATGCCTTGCACCAGCCAGTTTTCCATAGTCTCACCACGACACGATAGAACCACGGTGTTCGTTAACGCATAGACGAACAATCAATCTGACCCATCAGTATCCTGCAGTCTGCTGACGTCAAACCTTCGGCTCGGTCCGGTCCAGTAGGTTCTAAAAAGAACCGAGCTGGAGTGGGTAGGACCGCCCAACATGCTCAATACACAAGTCAAGCCACAAGAGAGCACATGTTGCTTCAAAGTGTTTGGTCACTCTTTGTTCCTGTTCTGATGGTTCTGATGGTCAAATGAACCTGTAGAACCCTGAGGGAGAACCGTCCGGGTTCTAACCTCCCAGTGAACCCGTTTCCTCTGAGGTTCAGAGCTACAGAAACATTGATTCTGTTTGACGTAGTCAGGAGGTTCTGGATGGGTTTCAGTTTGGCAGAGCTGTATTTTCGGTCCCACTTTGTGTTTGTGGACCCGGTCCAGCAGCGCCGTGTTTCCAGGCCAGGATACAGTCAGCATATCGCTATTTAAAGTAAGCGTCCGACACGGGGACAGATGATAATCTCCTGACTCTCCACAGAACCTCCTCTGAAGGCTGATCGCTCGGTGATTAGGCCCGCTGACCCGGCAGAGGCTCTCTTGGCCGCTCCGAGGACAGGAAGCAGGTCTTACTGACAGACTGGCCCAGATGGCTGAAGCCCAGGAGGCCATCTGCGGTGGTTCTGAGGTTCTGTGGAGTCTTCCTCGCCTAATTCTCCTCAGACCGAGTCGGACTCTTGGTCTCACCTCCGTGCGGCGGAGGGAACCTGCTGGGTTTGGCTCGCGGCGCACGATGAGCTACTTTACGATGCCAATAAACGGGTTCTGGTTCTGAAGGTCACTGATTGCAGTCTTTGTAAGTTCTGACGTGTTTTTTTCTTCCTGCCACCAGCGTCAGACTCAATAATGATGAGGTTTAGTGTGAAAACGTTGAAGAAATGATTTTTTCCTGTAACGGGTCGGTTTCATGCTCAACTGTTCTGCAGTTTAATGTCGGGGCGTCGGATCCGAGCCGGGTCCTGGACCTCACGATCGGAGCTGATTGGTTCATTTGTTTTGGCTGTTGGTTAAAAACAAAATATGTGTAAAATATGAAGGTTTTCAATTTAAAGTCTGAGGTTTTGACTCCATTTCACTTTTCTAACCAATAAATTTGACTTTTACTTCGACTTGTTTTGTATTATCACTAAAAGCGTTTAAGAGTAATTAAAAAAAAAAAGTTAATAAAATGGTGATCTTTTTAGATCTGAGGAGGAGGAAACGTCTTTGTTTTGTAGTTTTGCATCAACGTGGGGTTAAAACACACTTTTTTTGTTTATTAAATGTTGTAACTTTGCTTCGTTTGTGAAGAGGCTGATCAAGTGGAGGAGTGAGGACCGTCCTAAACTTTCTGAGACGGTCCTCACAATCATGGCAAAACAAACACACCCCAGTATTTATTCAATATTTAGTTTCACATTTAATTTTCTGTTCAACTGTTAATAAAATTACCTTAAAATTAAAGATAAACTGTCATCATTTGACCCTCCTGCTGCCCT